ATTTCAGCACCTGAGCGGTCTTTCTGGTCTTCTCCCTCTACAGTCATAAAATCCATCTTGAACGAGGACTACGGCTCCCATTAGCTTTTATATATGTACTTGTCTCCCTACTTGCGTAATAGTTAATCCCCCACTGATCTGGCTATGCTGGCCGCCTGTGCCACTCCTCAAGTCTGCAGCACACAGCCATGGCTCTTTACCCCTGCTGCCAAGCCTGCTTCCTGGCACTCTGAGGGGTTTTTAGAACTCTGGTCCAGGTGGTCATATCCTTCATTTTGTGGCATTTCTTCATTTTTCTGTTGTTGGCCCAGCTAGTTTTTTTTTCTTCAGATTTCCCCCTCCTAAGCTTTGTATTATGAATTAAGTGGGGATTTATGTATCAGATCTTGCACTCAACAACTTATGAAATTTCCCAATGGCTTTCCCTGACCACCCACCCCCACCCTTTACTTTTTTTCCCACTTCCCTTTTCTGGGCTACTATCTTCCCCTTCACCCATCTTTACGCCAGTCTACCTACCTTCTAACTCATAAAATCCCAAACTTACTTTGCTTACTGCCATTTCAGGGGCAGTGGTGGCAGGGTGGGTGGGTGAGGGAAATCCTCTGTCCCCTTGGCAATGGCAAACTCTTGTGCTATTTATCCAGGATAAAGTGTAGGTATCTTTTTTGCAGCCCCACTGGATCACTCCAATGCCCCTCGGCGGGTAGTGTCGCCCACTCTAGGAAACACTGCTATAGCCTATGTTTTCCTCCCCTCCCCTCCTACCTCTGGTAACCTGCAAAGTGTTTTTTTGGCATGAAAACCGAACAGTTCCAGGTGTTGTAAAAACTTGGCCATAATAATTGAACACCTGACTTGCTATATCTTTTCCCCTGTCTAAATTTGACTACTTTCAAGAATATTTTAAGAACAGGTCTTTGTGGAAAACCTTAGGAAGCTTTGAATTACACCGTGTTTTTAAAAAAATCACACTCACGTTTAAGCAAGCATTTGTCGTCTTTCATCTAAGGCTGGGGTGGGGAAATCTTCCAGATCAGCTACAGTACACACCCCACCGTAGAGAAGCAGGCTCCAGCCATCCCGTTAGTGGTGAGGCCATTAAATGGCCCGTGGCAGAAGTGGGCTCCCCTCCCCTGATCTAAGGATACTGTTGACTAGGTGTGTGATATTTTTCCCTCCCCTGATCTAAGGATACTGTTGACTAGTGCATTTTTCCTTTGTAATTTTTCACTTTGGGAGTTCTCAGACATTTGGCTTTGGCCTGGATGTTCTTAAATATCATTCACTACAAGATATCTTTTCTGCTTGTACCTTTTCTTGGCATCAATTTGTGTTTATATATTTTTTAATTCTGGAAAACATTTTCTCATTATTTCCTTAGACATTTCCTCCTGCACCCGCGGCCACTTCACCTGACTGCTTCCTTTCAATAGAGCCCTTCAGGTCGATGCTCACCAGTGAGCGTTTGCTGGTGGCACTCTTGGCTAAAAGTGATGAGCTGCCAACCACAAGACTGGGGATTCAAACCTGCCAGAGGAGTCCTGGTGGTGTAGTGGTTACTTGTTGGGTTGCTAACTGCAAAGCCAGCAGTTCAAAACCACCAATCAAGCTGGGCTTTCAACTTCCAATTCCAGTTTCAGGAGCTCCCAGGGACAGCTCTACCCTGAGTGGGCATTGGCTGGATGGGAGTGAGTGAGGAGGAGTTGCTCTGTGGGAGGAAGATAGGGTGGTCTACTTCTGTAAAGAGTTAGTCTTGAAACCCGTGCATAGGTTGCTATCAGTTGAACTTGATTTTCCTGGTCTCCTTTTCCATACGGCTAAAATGTCCCTACATTCTTTTATTTTTTATTTATTTAAATTCGTAGGCAGTATGCACTTGGTCTGCAATCTTTGGAGCACCAGTTCTTTTGACCTGTGGGAACTCACGTTCCTGTAGCATCAGCCCCTCTCTTTGCTGTGTTTACTGGTGAATGGCCAAAGCCCCATCTCTACCTGTGTTCCTGCCAGCGGACTGGAGAGAGAGGTAGTGACTTCCAGGCATCTCACAGCCACTGAGGATCACTACCAGCAACACTTTGAAGAGCCGCTTCCAGACCCCGAGGAAGCAGCCACTCTAGGAGGCATCAGGACCCTTCCTTGTCATGTGCCGACATCTTTTCCCCCGAGCAGTCTAGGGGCGAGGCGTGTGCACGAGTAGACTTCTCCCAGAGCCCCATCTTTGGTCCTTCTGCCTCCAGAGGGTGGTGGACTATTTGCACCATGTTGGATTTGGTAGGTTGTGGTTTGGAAGTTTGGGGGTTTTGGTGATGGTTCCTCATGTGCACACTCTCTTCCAAGTTGGATTGTTTCTATAGGATTAATTTTGTCTTAATAGGAACCAAAGTGGTTCTCAACCTTCCTAATGCCACGACCCTTTAACACAGTTCCTCATGTGTGGTGACCCCCAACCATGAATTCATGACTGTAATTTTGCTACTGTTATGAATTCGGTGACCCCCGTGAAAGGGGGTCTTTTAAATTTCAGTCCTTGTTATATTTTAGTTGTCTCTCTTTAAATATTTGTAAGTATATCCAATCTATTAACTTGCTTGGTTGGTTGGTGGTTTTATTATCCAATTTTAAAACTGCTTTTTAAGGGCAACTTTGATCCATTTAATCTATTGCGATTACTATTAGTTTAATGTTACTTTGTTCGCCATCGAATACTACTTTCTTTGGGCCTGAATGGGCTATCGTAATTTCCTTTCCTTTTTGATGTAGAAGTCATATATCCTGGTTGGGAAATTTTAGTGGATTTATTAGTATCTGTAATATGAACACCTTAATCAGCACCCCTACTATCCTGCTCTGGAAGGACTTCAGATTACTCAGTCACCACCACCACTCCCATCCTGCATGTTCTTCTCCAGTATTTCCACCTCCTCTCTTTGCTCTGTCCCCTTCAGATGACCTGGGAAGAGGGACACTGGTTCCAAGAATGCCATTGTAAAAGTGTTCCCTGCATGTGAGGGAGAGAGCACGGATTTTCGAGCTAAGGTGGAATACAGTGGTGGTAGTGGGCTCTCCTATCGGATTCTCCGCTAGCTGGCGGTAACCACCATGCACCCGCCTCAGAGGAACCCGCCCAGAGGCACAGGTGTTTCATCTCTGTGTAAAATAACCACACGGGGACATTTCCTGGGTACTGACTACCCCATCATCAGCCTCCCACTTAAAGTTGGTGGTAAGATTTGTGCTGTTACAGATAAGTGTGTTATAGACCTTATAGGTCTGAGGTTCTTATAGGCCCAGGTTTCAGAAGGAACGATTATACGCCTGTTGGGGATTTTCTTGAAGCTTGGTGGGCACTGCCTAGAAAGAGGCTACTATGCAGAGAAAACCACGTGATTGCAAGTCCTCCTGACAACTTGATTCTCGCGGCCACTCCCATCCAGGCGGTCAGTCCACTTGAGGTGCTTATGCCGCGGCTGTTTGAGAGCCCTTGGCGCCTCTGAGAGCGCTGGGTGTGGCGATCACCCACAGGTGTCCTCCATGTAGCCACCTTCTTGTCTGGGGACTCTGACAGGCTGTAGCCAATGGCAGCACGAAGTCTGAATTAAACATGTTTGCCCTGGACTCACCCTCGACTCTTCCTTAGCAAGTTTGTAAAAATAGGCCGTTGAAAGCTTGTTGGGCCTGAGACCAGCTGGTGGAAGTTTGCTGCCAACCGCCCCTCCCTGCCCCACAGCCCTCTACGGCTCTGCTCCGCGCCCTCACTGCCTGCTCTTCCGGAAGATCAGCAGCACCGGGCTCTGAGCGCGCTCACAGCTGCCCCCGCGGCAGCCCACGTGGCCAAGACGGTGGGAGGGGGGGGGGCCTGACAACTTGGGCCTCTTGGAGGCCTGCTTGTCGCTGAAATGGACCTGGACTCATGAGCGTCAACAATATTGTTCTTGTTTATCTTTTTTCTTTTTACAGTGGCTAGCACAACGTTTATTTCTCATAAAAGCCAAATGGCCATTCTCGACAGGGTGGCCTCCTGTGGCCCTTCCATGTGCAGCCCTCCACGTCTGGCCAGGAGAGGGAAGGGTGAAGGGCCACCGTGGGCAGTTGTTCATGGGGCAGATTGAGTTTGGTACACACCCTTCGCCTTTATGGTGCAGAATGCTGGGAAATAGCCCTGTCCTGGGAAAGGGAATCTTTCCCATCTGCCCCAGGCACACACTCCTCACCAGGCCCTTACCCAGCTCCCCGAGCTGCTGCTGGTGGCTTCTGCTGGGTGCAGGGCCGATCGTGTTCACCTGGCCCCTCCCTGTATCCCCCCACCCCCACCCTCGCCACCCCCAAGAGAGCATGCGCTTCGGGCAGATTTGAGTTCTCCCTTGGCCGAATTTACTTCCTTCACTCCAGGTACTTGGTAGAAATGTGCCCCCTCATTTGCTGAGCCTGAAACTCTGGGGTCCCAACAGGCTGTTTGCTGTAACAAGCACTGCAGGAAATTCTCATCCGGGCTGATTTGACCACCACAGGCTGCCGGGCCCGTGTTCTGACCTTTGGCTGACTTACGTGTGTGAGCTAGGCGACTTCACCTGGCTGGGCCTCGGGTTCCGCACGGCCCGTCCGCGGGATCCGGCCCTTCCCCAGACCCCGTCCATCAAAGCGCTTCATAAGTCACACATGATGACCGAGGGGGCGGGGCCAAACTTCCTGATGGGAAACCCACCGGGGAAGAGTAGTGGCCATAGCTGGACGTGAGGGCAGCGTCCCTGGCTTGGGCACTTGGGGACAGTTCCTGTTTGTGTACAAAAGGTATGAAAACAATGGGCAGAAAACTCCCCTCCCTCGGCCAAGGGTAGCAGGCAGCCAGCAGGGTGCTGGGATGACCCGCTCCTGGCCAGCAGGGCCCCAGTGCTGATGCCTGCCCCATAGACAGCCATCCCAGAGGCGCCGTACCACGGAGGCACAGCTGGTCAGACATGTGGCCCAGCTCAGGGGTGGCGCAAAGCAGCAGGCAAACGTACAATTAAATAGCAGATTTAATCATCTCACAACAGACAGCAGTGTAGCAGTATAAAGTCTCTTTTTAAAAGTCTCTCCCCGCCAACGCTCCGGTTCCTCTTCAGCAGAGGCCCTGGTGGAGGGCAGGTGGAAGGAAGTCTTTCCAAGTGGAGGGTGCCTTGGACGTGGCCCGGAGCCCTCCTGAGGGCTGAGCGCGCACACCCACACAGACACACGCATGCAGGGACCCGAGAGAAGACGAGGTGCCGGGACCACAGTGGGGCAATCACACACATGCACTCACATGCCACATATTCCAGTCAGCCCGTGGTTGCCCCCGCTGGGGACCAGGAGTGGTGGCCGAGCCCTACAGCAGCAGTGAGGGGCCGAGAAAGAGGAGGACGGCAGTGTGTCCAGCCAGCTGCTCTGACTCCACAGGCCACCTCCGCTCCTCTGCATCCCTGAAACGCCAGCCGCCCATCCACCCCTGGCCAACAGAAAAGGGAGTGGGGCTCTAGGGTCCAGAAACGGGATCTGTACCACCTTGTCCGTGGGGAGCGGAGGGGATGCCCGCGTCCTCGGGGCCAGAGGACAGCAAAGCATAGGCCCTCTGCGCACCTGGCGCTGGTAGTCCTTGGTGCTGCATCCCCGGTGCAGGTATTAGGGGCAGCTCTTGGCAGAACTTCCCAGTGTCCCAGTCAGGCTGCCCACTTTGGGGGTGCTCTTGCTCTTGCAAGAGGTGGAGGAGGCCAGGAGCCTGCTGGGGCGGGAAGGCGCTTGCAGAGCAGGAGGTCCTGAGGTGAGCCGCTTTGGGAGGCCTCTAGGTCAGGTTTGCAGAGGAAACTTCATTCACAGCTTGCTCACTGGGTCCTGGAGAAGGTCTGACTCAAGTATCAGAGGTTCTGGTTGGGTGTGAGGGTGGTGAGACCACCGGTGCTGGGAGAGCAGCCACCCGCAGACCCAAGAGGGCTCACAGACCAGCCTGGCTGTGCTCTGGCCCTGGCACTGCCCACCCACGCCGAGGAGTCGGAAGAGCTGGCTACAAGATCTCCTCCCGGGGGTTTCTGGCCTTCAGCGGGGCCTGCCCGTTGGGCACAGAGCCATTCTGACCATGCAGCAGTTTGCCCTTCTCTCGGTCTGGCCACGTGAAGATGGCGTCATCGCTGTCCAGCTCTGACTCGGAGTGCATCAGGCTGCTGCTCAACACAGGGCCTTTCTGCTTGAGGCCTGCAAGGGAGGCGGGAAGCTGGAGCCAGCCCTGCACCGCTCCCACCCCCCCACTCCCCCCACCCCCAACCCCACGCTAAAGAGAAAGTCCAGGCCTGCTGTGGGAGGGCAGAGGGGAAGGCAGCGGCTGCAGTCCCTCCCCCAGGCTGGGTGAGCAGTATTCCAGGGAGAGCCCCAGGGTGGAGCCTGGAGAAGAGCAGGCTAAGCAGCCCACCTATGGAGTCAGTTCCCCTCTGTGAGGATGGCACCCCCACAGGGTCACTGCTCCGCTCTGCTATGCTTCATAGATGGTTCTCCCCCAGCACCTGCCCCAGTGCCTGGCCCAGAGCTCATGCTTTGTCATGTGTGGAAGGAAGGCAGCAGTTCTGTAAGTGCTGGTGGTGGACAGATTTTAAAAGGGAGGCAACAGGGGTTGGGGTGAGCTCTGTTAGGCTATGGACACCGTGCCTAATGTCAGCACCCACTTGGGTGGCCAGTGCAAACCCCAGACCTGCCCTTTGCTCTGCGTCCTCATCTCCAAGACAGGGTGACAGGACAGGGAGGCAGGGTGCACCAAGAAAGGAACTCAGACTCCGGAGGAAGAGCGTGACCTTGCCGGCTCAGAGAAGCTGTGACGTGAGAGGCAGCGTCTGACATGGAAGGTGATTCCATTTCGCCCCAAGTGGACGCCTGCTCTGTGGACTCCCTGCTTGTGGCTGGCACTGACCCACTGATGGCGGTGTGGGGGTGGAAACTGGTGGGGGCCTGTAGAGACAGCCAGTTGGGGATTAAGTGGTGTCTATGGGAATCCTAATGCCTGTGTCTGCGCTTGAAAGCCCATTTGGGAGTGAGCTGTCTTTGTCATGTTATTGAGGCAGGATTAGGACCATGTATCTGAGTCCATCTCGTGTGAGATATAGAGAGATTGCACAAGTGAACAGGGAGGGGACAGACAGAGGTCAGGACACAAAGAATGGAGAGGCAGTTGCTGAAAAGACCAGGGCCTTCCTCCCTTGAAATCTGGGCTCCGGCTGTCTTCTGGGAAGCCACTCCTGGGGCAGAACTCGTCCACCTATGGTGTTCAGACACAGCAGCACAAACACTGTCCTAACCACCTCTGCAAGGAGCCCTAATTTTCTGCATCTGCTGCCAACATGCTCATGGGCTTCCTTTCCAGAGAGCCCTGGACTTCATTGTCCACGCACACCCAAACACACACACAGAGAAAGGACATTTCTGTGTGTCCAGCCTCTGACCTGCTGGCTTTCCCTTCTGCGGTCATTCGTCCTTCTACTCGTAACTTGCTCGTTTAGTCACCGGTGATCTCTCCAGTGCCCCATGCAGGGATCCACTCCTCCCCTTGGGCCTCTGCAGCAATCAGTGTGATGGCTCACCCTCAGGCGTGCCCTCCTCCCCTGACAGTCCTCCTCGGGCACTTTTGTCCTCCTTCATTTTCCCCATCAATTGAATCCGGCTTCTCTTACCCAGTGAGGTAATTAGTTTATTGTGTCAACCTGGCTCATAAACACATGTGGGGTTAATTGAAGGGCGGAGAGATAAATGGCTCAGTGAGTCTCGCCTTTCTAGTTCTCAGGTCTCTTGCTTTGTGATGGTCAGACCAGGGTGCAGCTGCCTTAGCCAGTTCCCTGCTTCCCCTGGCAAGGCTGACTTCCTGCAAGACATCCCTGAGGAGAAGCCACATGGACCTACCCCGATGCAGCCCTGGGTGCTGGAGCAGCTGTGTGGAGACCCCTGCCAGTGCTGAGATGCTTACACATTCACTGACTCAGCTTTCCTCTTGCAGTCGGCATCATTGCATGCGTTTTTTGAGATGGAGGACTTTGTGGATTGGTGTTGGACATATGGGTTAATGGGTTAATGTTGGACTTGTGAGCTTGGGCAGCACTGGGTTGGGATGTTTTCTTGATGGGCACTTAACCTTTATATAAAACTCTCTCTTATACATGAGCTGCTGTGGATTTGTTTCTTTAAAGTACCCAGACTAATACACCCAGTCAAGCCTGTCCTCCCAGCCCTGCTGACACCTTACTGTTGGTGCCATCATCACTTCCTCCTCAGATGGCTCCAGCAATCTCTTCCCTTCCATCTATGATATGGGGACACCAGACTACTCTAACTTCCTCCAAAGTGTCACCATCGGAATAAACACTTAACCTCTTGGGCTCAATGGTTGAAACTTTCCAGAGTTGGGTCCTACTCAGCTCTCCAGTCTCAAGCCCACTCATAACTGCCCTAAGTCCTGGTTATCAACATTGTGACCACACACAACCCACAGCGATGCTCAAACAACTTCTCTGAAAATCACCCTGCCCGTCTCCCTTTCTCATGCTTTTTGCCAACATATCACTACTCTCAATAAGTCTCCTCCCAGAGTGCATTTTAAATCTACCTGCCTCACTTTATTTCATCATCTCTTCGCCAATAAGAAACTTCTATTTAATCTCTCCCTCACTCGTGCCCTTCTAATTCAAATAGTAGCCATGGTCCAGGTCCCTGGCCCTGGCCACCTAGGATGGCTTGGACAGCTGAAGTTGAGGCAGCTGAAAGGGAGACACAGGCTGAGAAGAGCCAGAGCCTTGGCCCCTCTGCAAAGCCGAAGACCCTTAGAGAGGGATGCGGTGCAACTTGAAGCCTGCCCCCCCAGCCTTAGTCAGACCGGGGTCTGCACAAGTGAGCAAGCCGGGGTAGGGGACCGACAGCTGGCTCTGGGCACTACCTGAGCGGGACGTGGGCTTCAGCTCCAGGCTTTCCTGGTCAGTGGCATCCAGGACCTTGTACCTGCTTTTCCTCTTGGGTTTTCCTTTTTGCCTGAAAAACATAAGCCCCCACCTGCTCAGGAAGGAGGCGCTGTGTGAGGTTCAGAAACCGACCCCAGGGTCCTGTCAGGGGGAGGGGGCATTAATGGGAAGGGTACCCTTCTCTTCTTGCTCAGGCAAAGTACAAAGTGTGATTATTTCCCAATGGTTCCTCGCTAATTCTGGACAAAGGCCAGGGACGCAGCCTGCATCAGCACGGCCCCCTAATCCAGGGTCGGGGGCCAGAGAGTCGTTCGCAGTGCTGCTAAAATGTGGGAGGCCCTTGGCCATCCTTCCGTGGCTGGCGTGCCCAAGACTGCAGGCTGGACCTCAGCTCTGCCACTTACTCTCCAAGTGTCCTTCAATTGGGATGTGCTTTCCTGAGCCGACCTTCTTCTCTGTATGCTGAGGAAGGGTCATTACGCTGTTATGCTAATTAAAGAAGATATGGTTGCCAGTCGATTCCAATGCATGGGCCCGTGTGTGCAGAGAAGAACCACCCGAGGGTCTGAGGGTCTGTGACTTTTCGGAGGCAGACTCCGCACATGTCTGGAGGGTTCAAACAGCTCACCTTCCAGCCAGTAGCTGAGTGCTTAACTGTGTGCACCACTCAGTAACTCCTTAAAATAGATATGGCCTATACAATCTTATTATGGTGCTTGGCATGCAGTAACACAGAAGTCATACTTTATTATACGAAAAAGGTGTAATAAATATACACATTAAATATCATAAAACTAGCTAGGACGCCACGAGTGAAAAACTCCGGAGCACCTAACCTCAGCCTCTAATTAAATGGAAACATGCATTAGTTGAGATCACAGCAGAAAGGCAGGCAGAACCAGGGCCTTGCTCTGTGCTCCGTGTTGAGGTGCTGGTGCCGAGGTGTGGAGCACCAAAGGCCCCACACGTCAGAGACAGGGTCCAGGCCCTCACACCCTCACACCCTCATCTCTACCCGGGCCACCAACGGGGTGTGCTTCTGCCTTCAAGTGAGTTCGGGGGTGAGGAAGGCCTTTCTGCACACGTGAGGGGTGGACCGAACTAGGGCAATAAGGTGACTGGGGGAAGGGAGGGAAGCCAGGCCCCAGCTGCCGTCCTTCTCTGCCCGGTGAACACGTGACTGGGAAGCCAGATGCACTTTAAAAAGAGAACCCATCTTACCTTTTACAACAACAGATGACAGTCCAAGACAGGATTCCCATGGCAACAACAATGACAAAGGAAGCGATGATAACATACAACACGCTCCATTCTGCCAAGAAAAACAAAGCGGTGAGGGCTATGAAGGCAGAGGCGGGAAAGCAGGTTTGGGCTGCCCACACCTTGGGCAGGAGGTGGCTCCATCTGTGGCCCAGAGTTCTCAGGGCTCCCAGAGAAGGCAGGACCTTGGGCTGAGGCCAGCTGGCATTCAAGTCCTGAGAACTGTCTCTGCTTTCCAGTCCCTGCTCTGGGCCCCTGAGCTCTGGGGCAGCTGGTGGGAGGTGGGGGGGTGGGGGGTGGAGCTGTAAGAGTTGGCACAGAGGGCTGTGGAGGGAACAGGCACTCCAGAAGAACAGGGGGCCTGTAGTCCTGGTTTTAGGCTACAGTTTGCAACAAGTCTGAATGAAGCTTGGGCTTTCTTACACGCTCTTTCAGTGTGCCTCTAACCTTGAGCAAGTGTGGAGGAAGGGAGTCAAAGTCTCTGCAAACAGAAGACACACAAAGTTCTTTTCCTTGGCTGCTCATCTGCCTCGCAATCACCAACACCCACCCACTCAGCTCAGAAGCACATTCTGTGCCAACCCGGCTGGCACAGGGCCAAGGAGAAAACTCACCACAGTTGCTGTCTCCGTCCCTTAGCTGCACCTTGATGAAATTCTCCATCCAAAAAGGGTCGCAGACACAGCGCTTGGTGAATGAGTCACAGTGACCATGGTCCGAGCAAGTCAGCTGACATGCTGAAGGCAGCAGGAGAGGGAAGACGTCAAAGCCAGTGGGGACAGTGGCCTCGAGGGTCCACTGAGGTGGGAAAGCTCTGGGGTCTGACCTGGCTACCAGGGCTTGGTCAGACCTGAGCAATGAGGAAGGCCAGTAAAGAGCCCCTCCAGCCTGCCTTCAGTGGCGGCACCACTCACCAACAGTGTTGATTTCCAGGGCTCGGAAGATCAGAAAGTCTGCCTTTTGCTTCCGCAGCTCACTTTTGAGCAGTGCTGCCACCTCGTGGCCCTTGAAGAGCTGGTGGGGAGGCTCGTTTTGAACAAAAAAGACCATCTTGGTGCTGCAGAGACACAGGACAGCAGGGTGAGTGGGGCTCCAGTGAGCAGCACCGCCACAGTTGCTACAGTTTCCCAAGGACCTCCTACCTCCTGTTGCACCAGCCGCTGCGCTAAGTCCCTCTCAGCATTGTCTCACAACAAGCCTGGGAAAGGGGAGACGAGCATCATTCCCAGTTCCCACTGGGGCTCAGAGCAGTTACGAAACTTGCCCAAGGTCACACAGTTCCTTTATGGCAGAGCCAGGTCCCAACCCTGGCCCATCTGCTCCAGAGCATCGGCCATTTAAAATGCTGCAGGTTGCCTGACACAATGAGAGGGAACCCAGAGGGCTAGAAAACGGGGCGTTTGGTATGGCTAGATCCCTGTGGTCAGCCTTGTGACTGCTGAGACTGGGATGGTGCTGGGCTTGTATCGGGGTTACTCATTCCCGAGGTATACCATATGCTCTATACAGCATGATCAAGAGGTCAGTCTATAGCCCTAGTAACCGTTCCTAGGACAAAAAGAAAGACCCCCCACAATGGTGTGGTCGGTGTGAATGACATTACTCCTGCCCAGAATCTGACTGCTTACTGTCGATTTCTGCTAGACAAATTGGGTTTGGACACACTACTGGGCAGCCCAAAATCTGTTCCCCATGCCTTAGCCCTGTTCTTGGGAGACTGCTTCCTGAGCCCACATTTGTCTCATAAACAAACCTCTCTGGTCAGTGGGTCATGCTAGGTTAGAGGTATGTCAGCTCTTGTTCCCTTGTGCCGTGGGGTCGGGGTGGGGGGTCGGACCTGTGGGCTCCGCTCTAAGTAGCCTGCTTACTTGTTCCAAAGTACCCTTTTCTGTGTGTGACACGACACAAAGTTTGGGAGCACGGTCACAGCCTCTGGAAAAGCTTGCTGCAGAGTGAGGCTGACAATGGGGCGGTCCAGACTCCAGAATCACACAGCAAACGTGTGCCATAAAGACCCACTGTCCGTTTTCCATTACCACCACACCCGCCCTGGCCCCTAGGTACAGCTTCAACTTGTGTTTAGAGTCCCATAAGCCTCCAACCTTCGTCTCCCCAGGAGTGACCTCCTTTGCTCTTCTCTGTCCTCCCGAGTGACCAAATCTATCCTTGAAAATGCTAGCTAGAAAATCCACCCCAGATCTTCCAGTCTCCAAAGAAGCTCGTCATGATGACCACACACACACACACACACACACACACGGAACATTAGAGTCAGGGACTATGCAAACATCGTCTTACTCAGTCCTCAATAGCACCTCTACACAATCTCGAAACTGCGCTGCCCTCCACTTGACTCTGACTCACAGTGACCCTATGAGGGACAGGGGAGAACTGCCCGGGGCGTTTCTAAGACTACAGCTCTGCAGTCTCGTCTGTCTCCCTCGGGATGGCTGCTGGTCCCAAACTGCTGACCCTAGAGTGCGCAGCTACCACTTAACTCCTCCGCCACCAGGACCCATCACTTTATACAGGTGAGGAAATCTGTTCAGGGCCCAATCCCCACTCCCCCGTCTCGACCCCCGCCCCGGCTCTTTCCCACTGCTCTGTGCTAGCTCCTTCCTCCTCCTGCGCTCTTCTACTAGGTCAATTCTGCCACTGCTCAAGCCAGACGGCCGAGTCATCACCAGTGCCTCCTCCTCCTCCTCCTCCATGTGCGGCCATGCCGGCACCAATGCTTTCACCAGCACCCGGCTGACATCTCTCTGCTGCCTCTACCTCGCCCATTCCACTCGTGAAGTCAATCCAAGCAGCCATGTTCCCTGTACCTCCCTCTGGGCAGCTGAGCACAGCGGCGTGAGCCCAGGGAACCCTGACTGGGAAGCGCAAGCCCTGCTCCAGTGGGCTGAATCAGCAGCTCCTCATGTCAGGTCTTTAACCTTGACTGAGACCTCACTTTTGCTCAAAGCCACTATCACAAACTTGACCCTAATTTTGCTCATAGACCGATCCCAACCTTTCCAGTTCCCTCTGGCTACCACCTCATTCCCATCTCCTCACAGTAGTTTCACCGACAAAACCCAGGGCGTTAGAAACCACTCTCACAGCTCCCCTGGACTGCCTCTAACTTCACCCATGGTAGTACCACATTCTGTTTTCAGACAGAGCGGTGGCCCTGCTCCTGCCCGGGAGACTCCCCCTCCCCCACCTGTGTAAACTCTGCCCTTCTCAGTCTGTAAATAAGCTCCAGCACTTCCTGTCCTGAAAAGCTATGCAGTGAGTTTTGGCTTTATAACCCATATGACCTTCAGCACAGACTTTCTTGAACAGCTGTTATTCTTACCATCTCCAGAGCTGCACACTGTGCCTTTTATCCTCCACTCCCAACATCTCAGGAAAATGCTCTTGCTGAGGTTCTGATGCCCGACTACTAGTCAGAAGCCCAGAGGCCTGTCTGGTTCTCACACCTGGCACATCTGAAGCCTAGAACCAGCTCTCTACTGTCCGAGAACCCCTTGGCCTCCAGCAGACAACTCTGCCTGGTTGGCCTCTTTCCTTCCCGGTGGCTGTTTCCCAGCTTCCTTTGCGGACTCTTCTTTCCCTCCTCCTCCTGAAATACTGGTGCCCCCAGAGTTCTCGCTCCCCCCTCAGACACTCTCCCAGGCTGACTCACTGTGCTCCGAGCTGGACCCCTGCCTGGGTGTGCGCCGGGGACTACCGACCTTGGGCTTTTGCCTCCATCCTCACTCCCAGCCTGCACTGACTGCTCTCTGGTGGGACATCTTCAAATCCAACAGTCAAACTCACCCATCTTTCCTTCTAACCAGCTCCTTCAGTATCCCTAATCTCAGCCAATGGCATACATCGTCTTTCTGGTCACCCAAATCAAAAGCCCCATATTTGATGCCTCATTTACCCACACTCCCAAAGTCTCATTTGTTTATTTAATCTCCAAAACTTCTTCTCACTTCATCCTCCCTGCCACTCCCAGGGTCACTATCCTAACTTAGGTCTTTGTCACTCTGTTACTAGACCAGTCCCTCCTGCTTGATCTCTACCATAGTCTCTCTCTACCATAGTCTAACCTCCACACTACCAATCTTTTTTTTTTTTTTTTTAATTCATCTAACTAGGAATCTCCTTGTTTTAAAAACAAAATGAACCACAACTTCACACTTCTAAAACAAATCAACTTGGGTCTTTCAGACAAAACTATGAAAAACTAACCTCTTGACTTGTCTATGACTGTTCACATCTCGACAGACTTACTGCCTACCACATCTTCACTTCTAATGGAGGAGGAACCCCTCATACAACCAGAGTCAGGTGGCTCCCCGGTTTCAAATGCTCCCTTCATCCTCCTTGCCTGCCAAGACAACTTTTACTTCTTCTGGGGACTCTCTGGGCTACCCGGCACCCTCGCCCCCCTGGAAGAAGTCACTGCTCGATTCAGTGAGTGGACACCAGGAGTGGTTCCTGGTCAGGAAGCCTCCTTCTAAGCTACTTCTCTGCTCAGTCAAGAAACCCAGGGGCCCCTGGTCTTTCCTTTTCTCCCCCCAGTCATGGCCCAGCTACCTCTGCTCCGTGTATGGCTGAATCTTTTGCACAATGATGTCGGAATCCAGCACCCCCAGGAGGACCCCAATCTGGCGGATGAACATCCCCTTCAGCCTCTCAGTTAGCTGGCTGACGTTGACATCCAAGATGATCTCCACCAGGTTGTCTTTCCTGGGATCTGGAAGGCATGTGCATCAGTCATGGTTTTAGAAGCAGTAGAAGAAACACAGACCTGCCTATGTGCGTCTGCTATGGCACAGGAGAGGGGAGCCCACACAGAAACGCACGACTTCCTGCCCATGGAAAGGCACAAAAGGGAATCCCAATAATTCCATCTGGGGTTGGCTTGAAAGCTTCTAAAACATTCTTGGTCTCTGCACCCACCAGAGAATTACTGGAGACAAATGAAGCAAGAGGGGCTACTAAAGGGAAGTGGGGGAGAGATGAATGTGTCGGGGCTTTGTTTAAAAGCCCCTGCCTAGGTGGCTTTGCTGAGCTCTCCAGGCCAAGTGGTGGGTAGCAAGCAACCTCTCCCAGCCCACATCTAGTTTCCGAGGCCCTGATGAACTTGGTCTACCTTTGCTTTTCAAAGCCATTCTAGGAGGGGACATGCCCAGCTCAACCCGCTTATTGGGAATGGGAATGGACCTGTCCCCACAGCACACACAAAGACAATCCCGGCAGTCAGGAAATAAGGATCTGTTAATAGTACTGCTGCTGCCGCATACCAGCTCTTCACAACTCTAGAGCTGTAAAACGAATGTTTTACTATTGAATTCAGCCCAGAGACTATTCTACACTTTGAAGTGGAAAGTGATCATTCAGAATACCTTATTCCCATACTGTTCTGATGTGTAATTTGCATAATTTACCAACTATCTACGATCTGATTTTAAACACAGCAGACACTAATGGTGTCTTGGATGTTGTCAATTCTAGAGGCAGGACAAGGATTGAAATACTTCCCAAGGCTCCTTCCCATCTGACACATTCATAATACGGCTTGACCCGCATAATAAAGAGCGGGTTAAAGTTAATAACATGGTCTCATCAGATGCTTAGCAGTTTCCCTCCTCTGCCCCTCCCCTCACAGTTCCTCTCCACCACCAAATTAGCCTCAAAGCAAAACAAAATTCTATTTAAGAAGAAAATTTTATTTCTGCAAATCTTAAAAATGTAAAGGACACCAGCTACTCTACCTTCCCTGGGTTGTCAGATAAAGCCTCAGGCTTAACTTATAAAAATAAATTGTTTTCTGCATCTGGGTGCTGATGAGACATCATGACTCAAGTTCCTCCTGTGCTCAAATTCCCAAACCCTGAGCCCTCTCTCCTCAGTCACACATGGAGGAGAAAGTGCTGGGTTCTGACACGACTGCCGTGTGACACTGAGCAAGCACTGCCCTCTCTTCATTTCTATCGTTCGGTCTGAGATGCCCTGAGAGAGGCCCTCCACGTATGAATAGATGAGGTGTGTTGGAATCGGCAGTCTCTACAGGGTCACTAAAAGGAGCCTGGTGGTGCAGTGGGTTACATGTTGGGCTGCTAACCACAAGGTCAGCAGTTCAAAGGCACCGGTTGTTCCTTAGGAGAAAGTCGAGGCTTTCTGCTCCTGTCAAGAGTTACAGTCTCAGAAACCCACAGGGGCAGTCCTACTCTGTCCTACAGGGTCACTCACCATGAATAAGAATCAACTCGATGGCAGTGGATTTGATTTTGGGGTTTGACAGGGTCACTATGAGTCAGAATCAACTCAACAGTAACGCATTTTGGGCTGGGTTATGGATTTTTCAATGTGGGATTTCTAGATTTTTTTTTCTTTAAAGCTGGACATGCCCTCAGAAAGGGGATCTCAGGAGAGAGGTCTCAGGTGGCTGATCTGTCTCTAAGTGAACTCACCAGGTTTCACCTCCACAGTGGCCCGGTCTGTGTCGCTCTCCCCCTTTACATCCGTCACTTTCAGGTGAAATGTGTAGGTTCCCTCCACCAGGTTGGAAAGGAAGAGGATGGGGTGATGGTCAGAGTGGTTTAACACCTCCTGTGGGGGGAACAACAAGGCAACATTGCAGAAGAAAACACCAGCCGAGCAAGTCCAGGAACTAAGCCCGTGTGCTAGACAGTGTCCACTCTGGGCAATTCCTGCTGTGAGGGCACTGCAACCCCCAGCCACTGGGCTCAGGGGACAAAAGTATATCCTATGTCTTGCCAACAAGTCATTTCTCCTCCCTGGCTGCTCCCAGAGTCTAAGCCCAGTTCAACACAAAAGACTGCTGGGCTAAAAACCCTTTCTGGAATATCAGCACCCCACTTCTCCCCCCTGAGACGTACCCCGGCTGCTGGGCTCCCATCATCTCGAGTCCAGCGGTAGCTGATGACTCCTTTGTCATCTGAGGACCTGGTGCCATCCAGCTCTGCTGTGCTCGTGGGCAAGGTAACCATGACGCTCCCTGTAATCTTGGCTACCGGTGGTTTGTTCATTTCTAGCCGAGAGAAACCCATGAAAGAACATCATTTTCTGAGAAAGGGAGTTTCTTTATGATGTGCCCATCCAACCCGCCAACCAACCGGTTGACCCAGTCCCCAGTGCCGTAGCTCCTCCTGTAGGCACCACGGCACTGGGCCAGGGCAGCCTCTCAAAAAGGAAGCCGCTCCTCTGTTGTCGGGGGACACAGTCATGGGAAACAATGGCCCACTATTGTGGAGTGTGGTTCGGTCAGCGACTATTTTTTTAAATGTCCCTTTTGAAGCATGATTTTAAAATCTTATTTTCTGACCATCTTTTTATTCCTTCCTTAATATATTTTTTTATTTTTAAAATGTTTTTTCCTTCCTTAATATTTTAAAAAAGACAAAGAGGGCCCTACTTGAAGCTTGCCTGCCTATTCAGACATTAGTGTTCAGCTCCCACTGATCCCTGCGTCCTGGGCTTGCAGGCTCACAGCACTGCACAGGAAGCTGCAGTGCAGCACAGTCATTCTAGGGTCTGGCAGCAGGTGTCGCTGTGGCTAACAGGAAAATCTCAGAAACCGCAGGTCCGGGCAGCACTCAGGCAGAAATTAATATGCAAAGGAAAACCACCTTAACTCTTTATCTATTCAAGAAGGGAGAGGATGAGTTTTAAAAAAAAAAGAATTCACCTTGGAGTCATTTAGTTCAAGGCTGTTGTAGAAAAGCAATTAGCAGCTGCCCTGATCCTTCGAGCTTCCAGCCTGCCCCTGGTTGTCTCCCCTCCTTCTCTGCAGCCAAACCAGGCTGTGCACCAGCCCAAGGTGAGGAAGTACCTTCTCTGACAATGACGTTCACGGAGCTCTGGCTTTGCAGGTTCCTCTCATCTTTGACAGTCAAGGTGAACACATAGGCTCCCCCCTGCAGCCCGGTCACCGTGGCAACACTGCTGTTAGCATTCTCCAGCCGCACCCCCTCGGGTCCCCTGGACAAAGAGAAACCAGAGGGTGGAGCTGTACCTGTCTGCTGCTTTCTGGTCCTGAACCAGCAGGCAGCGAGGATTTCCACCTCAGCGAAAATGTGAACCCTTGTTCCCCAGACCTTGGAAGCACATGTTTAAAAATATTCCATTTGAACAAAGTATCATTTGGCCCCAAAATACAGGCTACCCGCTGATCAGAAAATTTCAGTCACCAGTTGTCAAACACATCTAGCTTTATCCTTTATAGAAGCTTCTAGGACATTCCAACTCTTTTCTTCCAGTTTGTCAAAGAAAGAAAGTGTTCTGTACAGAAAGAATGTGCTCTGATCCAAAGAATGATTTAAAAGGGATATTTCTGAAAAGCATTTCTGGCTCAGTAGTTAGTTCAGCTCTTGCCAGCAAAGAAGCCAAAATGCATTTCTTCATCACATGCCAACATCCTTCCTGATGAGAAGGCAAGAGAGGGAACTGGGCCAAGGTTGCGCAAGACCTCTCAGGGCAACGCCGTCTTCTGCTCAGCAGTTCTCTGGGGCCACAGAGGACCTGCAGGTGCAGGGAGGGAGCGCTGTGCCCACTCCAAGTCACAGGGGCTGCACAGAACGTGGAACCCTTCTGCCCGGGTTGAGAACGCCCTGCAGCTTTCCCGAAAAACATAGGAAACAGACACATCTGTACGTGACCAGGATTTTGCCTTGTTTTAAAATTTGTAACCCCTGACCTCAGTGCCCCTTAGGAAATCTTGCTCCATGGAGCTAGGCTAAGCATTATCTCAGCCTTAATATCGATCAATCTCAACTGAAAGGTTTATCAGCCACATCTTCCACAAAGAGAATTAAAGCAGGCTGGACTGAGGGGAACTAGCTTCTCAAAACGTAGAAACAAGACCTAGAGGAAATCATTTGTAGAATCCAATTTCAGCAATCAAAAATCAAGTGGTTTCTGAAGCTCATTCGCTTGCTCACTCATTGCCATCAAATCAATTCTGACTCACAGCACCCTTGCAGGACAGAGAACTGCCTCTTTGGTTTTGCAGGATTTCAAATCTTTATAGGAGTAAAAAGCCTCATTTTGTCCTCAGGAGCAGCTGGTGAGTTAGAAAGGCTGCCGTGTGGCTAGCAGCTCAGGCAGCGCCAGGGCTCGGACAAAGTACCTAAATCAAATAAACATACCCATCACGAAGCCCAGTCTGTCCTATGACTGCCACCTTTGGAATCTAGAATGTTTTTAAGTCTTCCTAAGAATTGTTCTGCTTCTTGTGGATGGAGCTTGCATATAGTCTGACTTCCATTTGTTATGGTATAAGGGAGCTGGAAGAAACTGTGAGAACTAGGAATGGTTTGGCCAGGCAACTCCAGTTTAATTAGGATGGTCCTGGGTACTGCCTGCCTTTGGCCTCTGGCTAACATAATTGGTAACTGGTATCTTCAAGAAATGGTAACAGTGATAAGAGTTGTATAAGCCTCTAATAAAATGATTTAAAAACAAAAAACAACAAAAAAAGAAATGGTAACAGATTAATACTTTCATTTTGTAGATGAATTTTCAATTCCCTTTAATAGCTGTTCTGCCCCATCCCCCCTGCCAGCCTGACCCAGTTAATTTTGAGCAACAGTATTTTTCTGCTCCATTACCCCTTCCATCCTGCCTCTCCAGTGTAATTAAACTATGCATTTCATCTGATGGATTGTACCTGAAAAAGCACAGGACCACACACGATACCCGGGGACTAGCTGATGCTACGCAGTCTCTTTTTCTTTCCCTTTCCTTACCACAAGTACCTGTAATAGAATTTTCTGAGGAGTGAAGTTTGGACCTATAAACATGTCTTTCTCAGTCCCCTCCCGGATAAGCTAAGAAGACCAGGCTACCTCTTAAAAGCCAAAGACAACCTCGCACGTCAAAGGTCTGAGTCCTTTACATAAGGGTTCTGTGTCAGTACTCACTGTGTTTTTTCCCAGAGATAGGAGATAATTTTCTGATCATCGGAGCTTTTGCTGCCATCCAGGGTTGTACTGTCCACGGGGAGGGTCAGCTCCTTATCAGGGCCTGCATCTGCCTGAGGCGGCTTGTTATTTTCTAGAAGACAGACACTTGGTCATCAAAAGCTGCCAGTTCAGCTGGGAAAGGAGAGGAACCAACTGGGACATATGCTCTGGGAGGCATGGGGTTCTGCCTCCCAGCCCACAGACTGTCAGCTACTGTGAGAGATGCGGAGACAGTCAAGGAGCTCACAGTGACGACGACGATAAGACAGGAACATATAAAACCACCCTGGCAAAGTTATAATGCCATGCTAACTTTGAAATATCATGTGACAGGAGCTCAACGGAAAGGGCTTGAGTGATAAGGATGGCTGATTCCCTTCAGGAAATGTGCTATTAAAGGTTATAGTAAGACTTGGGATGGTCCAGACTCTAGCTCCTAGATTCCCTCGAAAGCCCAATAACTAGCCAAGGGCAAGGGTGTAAGCGGAGGCTATAAGAGTCAAGTATGTACTCTTATCTCTAGCTATGAAGAGAACATAAGGGGAATGGACAACAGAAGCTTCCAGGGGCTTCCACAATTGATGCCTCTTGCTTCTACTTTTACTCAGAACTCAACTCCTCCTCTCTCCCTAGCTTAGAGGGACCAGCTAATGAAAGAGCCTGTACCACAAGGTTGGGACTTACCAGGCTGCACAATAACAGTCACTTGAGTTGTGGCCTGTTGTCCTATTGTGTCAGTCACCGTGAGCTGGTAGGTGTAGTCTCCTTCTTGCATTGCCGAGAGCTGCAGAGTTGGTGTTCTAACTCCCTATGTGTATAAATACAGGACAAAAGGAAAGCAGACCACCAGAATCAGAACATCACATGGGAACTCCTACTCTGGTAGAAATGAATTAACCAGTTTTCTAACCCGATATTGGTATTAGGGCTATTACTTCTCGGTTCAGCATAATTTGTGAATGCTGAATCAGACATCTAGGGACATCTTGCTAAAAGTCTCCCCCTTCAAGGGAACAGCCTTCCCTGACACAGCAGCAATTTCAAATAAAGCCAGAGCTCTCACAAGGGAAAACATGCGGAGAGAACAAAGATCAGTCTCTGAGACCCAAGCCAGAAAAAGCATCGTGAACACATAGTGAAATCACACAGCTTAAACGCAATGTTGAACGAGTTCCTCTTGTGACTAAGGTCATAGTGTGACCCAAAGACAGTCTGATCAGTCAAATTCCGCAGCAGGTCATTCATTCAATCCCCTCAATGTCCCTACCACCACTTATGCAACATCCTCCTGTCTTTCCTGTTTCCATGCCTCCTTTTTCCCACCCTCTGAACTTTGTCCTTGGGTAAATGTTGCCCTTTTGATGGTAAATGGTGAGTTATTCTAACAAGGCGGTGAGTTCAGCTCCAGACCTGAAGAGTGACTAAGGGTCACGTCCTACCAGTCTCTATCCGACCAGGAAGCCTGTGCTCTTTTGTGGTTTTGAGCTTGCTTCCACCCATTTTTCTCATTCTCTATCCAGACTTTTTCAATGTGATTCTTTTCCAAGCAGCTGGGGTGGTAGCCAGGACTCATCCAGTGTTTCTGGTCTCAGAACTGCGGAGACTGATGTCTGCGTGGCACGTTAGTTTAGACAAACTGTTGCCATATGTCTTTCAACTTTCGTTTTCATCACTCTTCCTTCCTCGACAGGGAGAGGCCAATAGGTGCACCTTAGACGGCCGTTCGGGAGCTATGGAGACCACAGGGGCGACTCACCAAACTAGGACAGGCAGCATTGTCTCTGTGGACTATTTTGTGCCGATGGACCTTGGTTGGCCCCTGAGATTATAGTCATAAGCCCTCAAGTTTTAGAATCTTTCAATTAAAGGCCCTTAAATGTTCTAGATTTGTGGACCGATTTGCTTTTCATCCAAATTGCTTTCTAATCCAAGCCTAGTGTTGGTAATTAAAATGGACCAGAAATAAGCCTTGATTGGGTAATCTAGCCAAGCAGCAATAGTTCCCCAGCAAGAGAAAATAATAACTGCCCCTTCCTACCTGCATCTCCACCACTTTTCCTTTGCTGCTTGGGCTGAGGGACCACTCATAGCTGCTGATGCCATGATCATCAGTGCTCTGGTTCCCAAAGAGAGTGATGGAGTTTTGGGGTAGGGTGATGACTTGGTTGGGGCCTGCGTTGGCCACAGGAGGGTAATCCACAGCCTTATTCACTGTCAGGCTCGCAGTAGTAGAGTTGGCAGCCCCATCTGAGTCGACTACAGTCAAGCTATCAAGGCAGAGAGAGGAGTGTAATCAGGGATGCACTATAAACAGAGAGGAATAATGGTTACAGGACTGAGCATCAGGGCTAAGAGATACCAAAGTGGCAGGTATCAGTTCTTACCCATTCCTCTTGAGAAGGCAGAGTATAATAATAAACTTTTATAGAAATAAAAAGTAACATGGACTGAGCTTTACCATGTGCACTCCTCCAAGTGCTCTATAGCTCAGAGAATCCTTACTACAGCTCTATCAAGTGTTTTCATTAACAAATGAAGAGATGGAGGCAAAAAGAGGTAAAATAAATTGTTCAAGATCACACAGTTTGAAAGCAGCAGGGTCAAGATCTCAAACCAGGTCATTTGTCTCCAGAACCACTTTGCTGCCTGTGGGTATCAGACCTATAGAGGGCGCTGTCTGATATGGCACTCATGATAACCATGATAACCATAAGCAGTTCACAATAACTCTACGAGATAGGTATCACAGATTATACTTCAGAGGAAGGGTAATTCAAAGAAACCTGCCCAGAGCTATACAGTGAGCCAAGATGCAAGCTCATTTCACAGATTCCAAAGCCCGGAAACCAAAGTTTTAAGAAAAGAATGAGCCCTGGTTCCTATTCCTGTGGGGTTCAGAGAAGCTACTAGAAAGAGAGTTAAACCCTGTTATGCAGCAGGCGCTTTCTCCGATCCTGCTAGTGCAGCTACGTGCATATCACAAGAATGGATGCCCTGGGCAGCAGGCCTCTGGAATGGATGAGGAGAGCTGGCCCAAATAAAGCAGGAGCTTGAGGAGAAAATGAGTTCTTCTACTGCACAGCCCCACAGCTTGTGTTAGCATAGGATCTTCAAAAGAGGAAAGCGGAAAAGCCCAGGTCCAAGAGCTGCCTTTCCCCTAAATGGCCCTTCTGGCTGAACAAGAGCCTAAAGCTTCTCAAGCCGCCCCCACATGTGAGCATGAGCCAGCAAGGAGCTTTGCGTTCTTTCACTTTGCTGACAGAGAGAGGGAACACCTAGGAAAGACGCAGAGGTTGTTCAAATCTCATGATCAGTCACAAATTAAGCCAGGTATCTGTATATGTTTACTTTAACAATCCCCTTTTATTTATGAACTGAAAGGGAGTTTGGGTATTATTGTCTTTATGGGAAAAACAAACACTGAAAACATCAGGCACACACATATATACAAATCGTCAAAGGATCTGAAAAATTAAAACCCAGAGAAATGTTGTCTCTACTTGTCTCCTAGAACGGAGCAAAAGGAAGTTCTGGACAAACAGCAAAATGGTAGCTGCCCATTGCTCTTTCACCTCAACCAGTCTCCAGCTTGCTTGTGAATCCAGGAGCAGCTGACCTGACCACAGGGCTGGGGAAAGAGGTGACTGCCAGGCAAAGTGGAGGAGAGGGAAAGGTGAGTGAAGTACAAACACTCAGTCAATCCCATCCTGCGATTTCATATTATAAAAAATAAAAAAAATTGTAGGCCTACTCAAACAGAATCACCTCCAATACCCAACGCACCCAAAACTCTGGAAGCTAACACTGTGGTCAAAAGCTCAGACACTGGAGCTGGTGTGGCCTTGGGCAGGTTACTTAACCTTCCTGAGCCTAAATTTCATGATATGAGAATAATACCAGTGACAAGGATTACATGAGATATTGCATGCAAAGAGTTCAGAACAGCATTCAATAAATGCTTTAAGAAATATGCATAATTATTATTTCTAAAAGGGTCATCCTGGCACAGGTTAAACTTCATCAATGGGGAAAATCCCTATATTGGCAATAAACCAACTCAAATCTCCACCTTAAGCCTATAAATTGGCTCCAATCTTGGTGGCAGGCAGCAAACCTTTCATTCCCCTGAAGTCTTCAGACTTCTTAGGTCAGAATGTGGATATTTAATTATACAGGAGTTGTGGTACTAGAGCACTTACTACTGTGTCCCTATTAGTGTTGAAAACTTGACTGGCCTAAGATCCAGTAAGGAAGACTGGGGCCTGTGAATAAACTGCCACATCAGGTTAGGGGCCACATAGTAGCACTAAGTGCACTAGGGAAAGAGGAAAGATATATTCACTTCTCTGTAGTCTAGAGGAAGCTCTCAGAACCTTGTGGAAAAATTGAGTTGGTTCTTAAGGATGAAAAGAACTTCAACATTCATGGCAGTATAATCAAAATATGTATGGATCAAATCAAGAAATGGAGTAAAATGAGCCCTGACTTGGGAGTTAAAAAATATACGCTTGAGAACTTACGAAGTGCACTCTAAGCATCATTTTTCTCAGCTGTAAAATGAAGACAGCATCATTCTCATGTCATTTGCTTGATACTCCTATACAAATTCTTTGTTACAATGAATTATGTAACAAAAGGAGGATCACTCTAGAGTTAGCCTCAGCCTTAAATTCTTACTAATCACATTCTATAATGTCTTTCTCCAAAGGACTTTCTTTGAATAAAATTCTCCAAAAAGTCAAAGAGAACATAAAAAAGATCCTAAATATCATAATCAGATATTACTCAAAAATGAGAAGAGTTTGAGGTGTCAATTGTTGAGAAAGCATTTCCCAAATGGAAGGAAAACGATGAGAGTAGGTTCCTGCTAGATATTTCCTGAGAAGAGAAAAAGGGTGGTGGACCTTTTAACTTAATTAACAGGGATTCTAGAAAATTTGGGGCCACAACCTCCTCAGTTGTGCCCTCTGCTTCCCTCCACCTGAGGACTATGGGCCCCTGCAAAGTGAGCGAGCTACAGGCCTTCGTGAAAATGTGTGAACAGGACCCACGCGTTCTGCACACCACGGGAGTGGGTGGAGAGAGCATGGGTGGTAAAATACTACCTGCTACTCAGAAAGCCAAATCAGAAGACAATACCAAGGAAGAAAAAAACAGATGATAAGAAGGAAAACATAAAGACAGATGAACCATTAGGTGAGAAAACTGACAATGAAGGTGTAACTGAACCAGATACAGAAGCCCCTCAAGAAATGGGAGCTGAAACTGTAGAGGTAACCCAAGAGATGACGGACCAGGCAAAGGATAAGAATGTGGCTGCCACTGATGCTCTAAGTTAGTGGTTCTCAACCGATTCATTGCAGTAGCAAAATTTCAGTTATGAAGTAGCAACGAAAATAATTTTATGGTTGGGGGGGGTCACCACAACATGAGAAAATGTATTAAAGGTTCGAGGCATTAGGAAGGTTGAGAACCCCTGTCCTAAATGATGGTGAGCTACAGAACTACTGATCTATTCACTCATGCCATCAAACTGAATCCTCACCTTGCCCTTCTTTATGCCAGGAGAGCCAGTGTCTATGTCGAATTACGGAAGCTAAATGCTGCCACCTGAGACTGCGACAGAGTCACTGAAACTAATCCCGATTCGGCTCAGCCTTACAAGTGGTGAGGGAAAGTACACAGACTTTTGGGCCACTGGGAAGAAGCTGCACGTCATTGACCTTGCCCTTGCTTGTAAACTGAACTATGATGAAGATGCTACTGCAATGATGAAATAAGTTCAGCCAAGGGCCCAGAAAACTGCAGAACTGGAGAAAGAGTGAAAACATGAAGAGTGAGAGATCAAAGAATGAAAAGAAAGAGCTAAGGCCAGGGAAGAACATGCACAAGCCCAGAGGGAGGACTGAGCTAGAGGCAGGCAGGAGCTCAACATGGCTCCTTTCCAGGTG